AAGCGTCTGTCTGCTTGAACTGCCTCTGTTTACGATGACCTGGCATTCTCTGTTATTACACGTGTCTTTTGACACAAGAACAAAATTTCTACAATGATTTTCCTTGAAGAAATAACGACACGAATACTGTCCTTTCTGCAAGTTCCTTCCCTTATATCTTACTCCATGTGCGCACGAGAGCTGCGCATTTTACATCATTTGCATAACTCGGTTAGGCGCGTCTACCCTGAAATTTGCATAATTTTCTGGCCACTATTTCTTGGTGTTCTATTTTCAATGTCACGCAGTGTATATTTAACAGAATTCACATTGACCACTCTAATACAACTTTCACTGAGGAAAAAGAGAGGAAAATTATATGTATTTTTTTTTGTTGATTTGAGAAAAGCATTTGACACAGTTCCTCACTCATTACTCGGAAGAAATTAACCAATCTGGGCGTGAGCTATCAATTTATACATGCAATTAGAAATTACTACGAACAGGCGACTGTGGCAGTCAGATGGAGGGGATCAATTACAGAAAATATTAAGATACATTCGGGCATTTTACAAGGAGAGCCACTATCGCCATTACTTTTTATATTATTCATGACGGACCTGATTAAAATGTATGACAACTCAGATCTGACGAGTGTATACCTTCCGGAATTTGGTGATGTTCACCTGCTGATGTATGCAGATGATTTAAAATACAATATAACGCGACTGATGATTGTAAAACGAAAATTGAAATTATACCGCGAATGTTTCTTTTATAAAAATCGAAATTTATTTTCAAAGAGAATAGCGACATTTCTAACTTTGAGGATGAGGTATGGAAAGGTGAAACATGAAGAGTAATGGCGAACGGAAAAATAAAAAGTGTCCAGGGGCGGGAATCGAACCCACACCCTTCTGCTTACCGGGCAGGTGCCTTGTCCACTCGGCTACCCTGGACTGGTGTCCAGGGGCGGGAATCGAACCCACACCCTTCTGCTTACCGGGCAGGTGCCTTGTCCACTCGGCTACCCTGGACGTATTTTTCCGTTCGTTTCTAATACTTAAAGTAACATTTAAAATACAATATAACGCGGCTGATGATTGTAAAACGAAAATTGAAATTATACCGCGAATGTTTCTTTTATAAAAATCGAAATTTATTTTCAAATAGAAATAGCGACATTTCTAACTTTGAGGATGAGGTATGGAAAGGTGAAACATGAAGAGTAATGGCGAACGGAAAAATAAAAAGTGTCCAGGGGCGGGAATCGAACCCACACCCTTCTGCTTACCGGGCAGGTGCCTTGTCCACTCGGCTACCCTGGACTGGTGTCCAGGGGCGGGAATCGAAGCCGGTAGCCGAGTGGACAAGGCACCTGCCCGGTAAGCAGAAGGGTGTGGGTTCGATTCCCGCCCCTGGACACTTTTTATTTTTCCGTTCGCCATTACTCTTCATGTTTCACCTTTCCATACCTCATCCTCAAAGTTAGAAATGTCGCTATTTCTCTTTGAAAATAAATTTCGATTTTTATAAAAGAAACATTCGCGGTATAATTTCAATTTTCGTTTTACAATGCAGATGATATTGCTATTATAGGGGAGTCGAGGATAAACCTCCAAAAAAAGATTAATATATTGAAAGAATATCTTGGTGAGAACTATATGACACTGAACGAGTACAAATCGAAGGTTATGGTATTTTGCAATGGTGGTAAACCCTCAAGAGAAGATAGATGGTACTGGAATGGTAAACCTCTGATGGTAACAAGAAGATATAATTACTTGGGATACCCTCTGGTCAGTACAACTAAAACCACTCAAGCCGCAAACTTTTTCAAATGAAAAGCACTTGCGGCAATAAATGCTACAACCCCAATATTGGCAAAATCAAAAATTAATTCATTAAACTCTGCAATGAAACTGTTTTGATGTATGCTGCTCCAATTTGGGCAACAGAGTATAAAGATTTATTAGACCATATACAAGACACATTTATTCGTAGGTTTTTGAATTTGCCTAGATATAAACCAGGATACATAATAAGACCAGAAACAGGCCGCGTCTCATTAATAATAACAGCTCTGAAATTGACCTTGAATTAAGGGCTAAGGTTGCTGAGTATGGATACAAATAGACTGCCTCGAATATGTTTAACTAGAATGAGGCAATTATCCTGTGCTACAGGTGCGCCCATCGGGTTTATAAAACAATTAAGCAATTTACTCAATAATAACGGATTCTCGTGGCTTACTTATTGTAATGATCCTGATTCACTAAGGAATGCTATCCCAGGAATATTAAGAACTGCGATAGAGCAAACAATACAAAACGACTTAACAAGAATAACCCAATCAAAGTTATATTCCCACTATAGAGATATATATACAACGTTCACCACCGAAGAATATTTCTTAAGTGAACTCCCTTTTCCTATCATCAGATTAATCGCACAATTTAGAACCCTTTCAATTTTTTTCAGAGAACATCATCTGATTTTATTGAGGCGTGAAGACCTGAAATGCACTTTCTGTGGATCAGGAATAACAACGGAGATGTTGCACTACTTATTTGACTGTGCTGCTCTGTCTGAGGAAAGACGAAAACTAAATGATAAAACGGGGCAACTTTGTCCTTCATTTCCGGCACTAATTAATGAAATATCAAAGAATAGGTATATAGCGATGGCGATATTTGGATTCCACAAGACTATAGCCAGGAAAAAGTCCACACAGTGTTTTCCCCATCCCTTGTGAACTGGCGAATCCTGTATAGGGCGAGAGGCCCTAAATAAAGGTTTTGTTGTTGTTGTATATATTTAACAGAGGGGAGCAAGCTTACTCTGATTTTATATAAATAGAAAATAATGAGAAGTAAGAGAAACATTATGTGTACAATGAAAATTATTCTATTCATTATGTTTATTTTGCTCTTTATTAATTTATCTTTCTCGGCCACGTGGTGCGCGAGCTTCGCGTTTCTGAAGATTTTGGATGTGATCAAGCTGGATAGCTCTTTGAGGTAATGACGGAGAACAAGGATCCCGACGGGAATATGCTATATCTATTATGCGGAAATAACCTTACAATTCAAATAAATCGTTAGAAAACTTTAAAATGCAAGTATAAAAAAAGTATATTTTATACAAATTTATAAAATAGTGGTGATGCAAATCAAGCCGCGAGTGTATAAAATGCTAATTACGAGGATTAAATAGAAGCCGCGGAAATGTATGAAAACACTGCACCTTTCATCACAGTAAAGCAGCAAAAGAGGAAAGTCTAAGACTCTAAAAGCCAGCAGGCCATGGTTGCGAAGCCTAACACCAGTTCTCTTCAAGGCCAGCTGCTCAGCAAAGAATAATCACGAAAGATTCCGTGACCTTCAAGAACACCAGACTTCAACAGTTGCTGAACAAAGCCAGATCAGCAGCAGCGGCATTAGACCATTGCTGCTATTTAGATCGATTTGCGGACTTCGATTAATATCCGGAGGCGTCACCCGTTACTAGACTCTCAAGTACCGCTGTTCGTACCACCGTGCCATCCTCAAAGGGAGGGATCCCTTTTACCATCTGCGCCACCCATCTCCGCTCTGTTTCGATCAGCACCAGTCATCGAGAGAGTTTATGTATTTCTAAGCGAAGCTTCTCTGAAGATCGGAAACGCCCCTTCTGGATATCTATGGGGAGAGTGGGGAAAGTGAAGCGGGACCTGGTGAAGACATCAAGTGCCTCTCCATTCCCCGCGCTAAAGACGAAGACTACGTTGCCAAGGCAAGCCGGTTCCTGCGTTCCAAGCTCGAGACCGTAGACGCCGAATACCCTTCTCTGTCTGAGCTTGGGCATGCGTCCGACTATATCGCACGGAACCGGATACCGTCTTCGACCCAGGGGAACTCCGTCGAGAGAGCCTGGGGTACACCGTCCTCAACTTATTCAGAGAGCGCCTTGACACTTCAGCCCGGAGGACATTGCAAATGTACAATTTTTCAGACATCTGGATAGTCGGGGTGATTATGAATGAAGAAATTTCTATGTTTCCTTTTGAATATGTTTTTAACGATTTCAACTCAGAATTTGTTGGGAGTAGCGACTTGAACTCTTCAGTGATTGTTTAAGACTTCAAAGAAGGAATAAATCCAAATATTTAAGTTACTATCTGAAAAATCCTATCCTTAAAATCAAAAATCAATATATTTATCTGTTATATTGGAATAATCTGTTTCGAATATCACCAAGCACATTTTTATAATCGTAGAACGGGATGTTGACCTAGTCCTTAATATACATCTATATCACGTAGAAGTCTGGTATTTCATATCTGCTAATAATGCAAGTGTACACAATTTCAGACTTATAGGTGGCCGTTGTGGCATTGAATAGAGAATAGAAATAGTAGAGTTCCTTTTAAATGAAGCTGTTTCTGTAATATAAAGAGCGGCCAGCATTCCATAAAAATGTGGTACCAAAAATCTAACATAAGTGCACTTCAACAACCATTCTAACTGGCCACGCATAAATATACTATGAGAAATTTTGAAAGAGGATCTGATTTCCCCAACTTGTAGAATGAAGACCAACCAGCGGATCATCTCCTCAGCTTTTCAATATCAAAGATTTAAAACGGCCACTCTCCTATGGATTACCAATCTCAACCTGGCATCGATGAAAAATATCCCTAGAAATAAACCTGCTGGACAATATCTTGGACTTCCGCACACACACTGCCATTGTAAATAAAGTCTTAAGTCTGATTAACCCCACGAGTAGTTATAGAGACATCTTTTAAACGCCTAATGAACCTTGATTAATTACCCACATATTTTTGAACACATATATTATAATACTATAGTACGTTAATGTTTTTATATATAGCTACTGAGTTTAATATTGATACATGTATATAAAACGACATTTGAAAATTATCCCGTGGGATAATTTTCAAATGTCGTTTTACTATCACAAGCCGCATTATATTATATTATAAATTACTAATGTATTATTTACGAACGGAAAAATATGTCCAGGGTAGCCTAGTGGGCATGGCAACTGCACGATAAGCGGAACACTGTGGGTTCGATTCCCATCTCTAGACACTTTTATTTTTCGGTTTATCATTACTTTTCGCAATTCATCCTTTCATACCTCATCTCAAAAGAAATACATGCGGGATAATTTTCAAATGTCGTCTTACAATCACAAGCCGCATTATATCTATATATATAAAAATGAATGTATGTGTGTCTGTTTGTCCTTTATGCCTGACCAAACCACTCATTGGAACGCCATGAAACTTTGGGAAGTTATTTAGTATAGTACTGGGAAGGTTTCTAGCAAATAAATTTTTTGAAATAATTTTTCGCTTTAAAATAATCAAGATAAATATTCTAATTTATCTGTTATAATTAAACAATCTGCTCTAAATATTATCATGATGATACGATGATTTTGTAATGTAGAAAATTAGGAAAGACAAAATTCAGGATGACACGGCAATTTATTTGAGACAAGAATAATGATACAATTCCAAGGCAAGATACTATTCCTTTAACTCCAATTACCGAGGGAACCAATTAATATTGATTTTATTCAACTTATCGAGTATTTTTCAAGGGACCGGGAAAAAATGATCACTTTATCGAGAGATTCGTTAGACAAACCTTTACTCGGGTAAAACCCGGGCGAAGCCGGGTACGTCCGCTAGTTGTATTATATATATATATATTGAAAGAATTTGTGTGTGGTGAGATTTCGTATATGTTTTAACTTTTAATTCTTAGTTTTATAAATGCATAAACTAAATAAATAATTGATAAATGAAAATAATTTTATATCTCTCTCTTTATTTAAATGTATTTTAAAAAGGAAAAAATTAAACAATTACATTTATATGAGTATATATATAAATAAAAGCGGCGGGGATTATTATACACTGGTGTCCAAAAAATAAGGAACTTAACCAATATTGAAATTTCTCAAAAGCTAATTTATTAACAAATATAAAATTTAGTATACAAATAGTTTAAACTATGGAGAATTTGACTAGCTATATGAAAATAAAAAAATATTTGAAATTATGAAATATGCAAATTATTACCAACATACCCAAAGCTAAGGTTCCAGATCTTAAAGAAATAATATATAATTAGGGAGTATTATCACCTCTAACAGCTATCAAGGTCTCACAGCGAGCCCTCATACTGTTTACCAGGCTTTGGAAGAGGTCCAGGGGTAGTAAACCCCACTCCTCCAATAGAGCAGTTCTTAGCTCAACGAGGGTTCTGGGAGAGGAGTGACGAGCTCCAATACGCCTCCCTAGAGCATCCCACACATGCTCTATTGGATTCAGGTCCGGAGATCTGGCTGGCCAATCCATCCTTCGAATATTCTCACTCTGGAGATATTCATTGACTAGCCTAGCCCTATGCGGACGAGCATTATCGTCCATTAAAATTAAATTGTGACCAATTTGATCTCTATAAGGTCTTAGATAGGGCTCAAGGATCTCGTCCCTGTACCTTTGGGCAGTTAAAGTGCCCCCAGAAAAAATGTGGAGGGGTGTGCGTCTGCTAGAACTGATGCCAGCCCAGACTAAGAGACTGCCCTCTCTAAAACTGTCTATTTCCCTGGTGTTACTGGGATGATAGCGGGTTCCAGGCTACCTCCAGATGAAAACTCGTCGAGAATCTGTGTTTAAACTAAATCTTGACTCTAATGAACTTTCCTTTAATTCCTTCAGAAGGGCTGCTTGCGCCCGAAAGCTCGAATCGGTTTATACCAATAAAGAAGTTCGTCCTTTATGATCTTATTCGTGTTATAAATCTTGACTCGTCACTGAAGAGAACATTGGCCCACTGATCATGAGTCCAGGCGTGATGTTCCAAGCACCAATTCAAGCGGGCTCTCCTGTGAGCAGAGGTTAAAGGGATACAGACCATTGGTCGTCTTGCATAAAGGGCACCTTCGTGAAGCCTTCGGTAAACAGTTTGTCTTGAAATTATCGTTCCAGTAGCACTTGAGAGTTCATTAGAGAGTTGAATAGCTGTCATCTCCCTATGGCGCTTGGCAGTTACGACCAGATAACGGTCTTCAGAGGTAGCTGTTTTTCTTTTTCTACCAGAACCTTCTTTTCTTTTGATGGTTCCTGTCTCAATGAACTGTTTCCATATTTTGCTGACCACAGATTTATTCACATTTAGCCATTTTGCTACTTCAACTTGTGATTGCCCTGCCTCCATTCTTCCAACAGCTCTCTATTTTAAATCATCTGCTAAAATTTTTCGTAAACTCATAATTAACTAAGGATTAAATATATTTATAATTGGACAATTCTTAGATGGGGTAAACGACACGCCAAATAGCACACTTATAAAGACAAGCAAAAATTTGCATATTTTAAATTTTACCGAATCGAATGGTTGCGATAAAAAAAAATCTACGACTTAAAATACCTAATTAAATTACTTTTTAGCTTTTAGCGTTGTATATTTTAAAACATATCATTAAAAAACAAAAGTTTCTTATTTTTTGGACACCAGTGTATATTGAGAAAAGAGGTAAATTTAATTGCTCAATGTCAGAAGTTGAAAAATTGTATTTTTCCTTCTTAGTAAATTTTAAAAATCTAAATGTATTTTTTGTTGTTAATTTGTATAATAAAAATGTGTTTTCTCTGAGAGAATGCTACAACGACCAATGTATGGACTACTTTGTTCAGTGACCTGCTATGCCATCAATTAGGTCTTTTGAAAATCCTCCTCATTCAGAAAGCTCCGGATTTACTTGCTCTCTGAAGAATTGGTTTCCATGTCCTTCAGGTAGGTAGGAAGTGAAACAGGAGAGAGTAGTTTGGGGAATAGATCAAAATTATCCCATCCATAGTCCAAGATTTGACTATGAACATCTATCGAGCCATGTGGCCTATCCATATCAAAGTGTAGCACAATTACCCCGGAGCTTGGTCTAGTTCTAATAGCTTTATTTCTGCCTTCAGATCTCCCATTTTGGAGAAGAAATTCTCAGAATTAGTGGTCTGATTGGATGACAGTGGTCCTTGTGATCTCACGCGGAGCATCTTCGGGCATCCTTCTTTTGGGGGTCGTCTATGGAGCTCCCAAGCGCGCATAAATATGTGAATTTTACTACATTTAATTATATTTTTAAAACGTTTCATTAAATTATTCTATGAAAAAAAATATTTTCATTATAAATTCACAAAATATATTTTAATACACAGGTATTAAAATAATTGGTCTCCAGTAGAACCTGGGCTATAAATACCTCTATAAATTAATAAGATCTTGCCTGTCTATATACTTGTAATAATAATTTTATCTATAGATAGACGATATATATATATATATATAAAGTTAAAGAATGGAAGTTACTCAAGAAAATGCATCCCAAGCTATGACCCAGGTGCAAGATGCAATCAATCAGGCTGCATTTCTGTCCATTGACGCCTTAGTTACTGGATACCAGTCTGACAGCCTCATTCACCCGTTCGACACACCAGCCCTTCGCTACAATAAACTAAAAGGTAAGGACTCTGTTCAGAGCCTCGTTGTTCAATTCGGGCTAACAACCTTCCAATACGACAACAAGAAAAGATCTTATCAATATAAGGTTTTTGATTTTTACATGTATCATCGAACGGACACGGAGAGAAAATCCGGTATCAAATTTTCTGTTGATAACAGCACGCTGCAAGATTTATTTTGTAGTAACTTTGACTTAAGAAAATTAGTTTTCAAAGGAATGTCGTATTGCACTCTTTCACAAATCAAGAAGGTAAGGGCGAATATTATTAAAAAGCATAAAGGTGAAATAAACACAAAATTGGAAAGATATAATTTAAAATATGGCGATAAAAGTCAAGTGATTGTAGAAATTGAAGAAGTTAGGGTTACCGAATTGAATAATCAAATAAAACAATTTTGGCTTTCGGATAAAGAGAGCACGACTATCGCTGTTGCGCGTTGTGAACGTCGTTTAATACATTCAATTATTGGCAAAGTTACCCAGAGGTTTACCTCACAGAAAGGCAGGAACTAGGTGATTTTAAAATTAAGAATGTGGATTATGACGAATATTTTGTGGTACTTGAAAAACGCAGTTTGCCAGTCACCAAGGCAATGCAAGCTTTCGAGCTTAAGAAAGTCTACGATAAAGACAACTTCTCCAGAGTGTTTGAAATGATCCAGAAGTCCGGCAAGCTGGTGGCGGGCTACCGACTGCTCTGGCCTCTCATCAACGTCGTGCGGCAGTTCGTGACTCCGCTGCCCCCGGATTGCAGGGACTTTGCCAGTACAGTCCTCACCAGCTTCAACTGCCTCCTCGATGTAGATCGGGTAGCAGCCGCGAAAATGCGCAATTTACAAAACTTCAAGACCAAAAATCTAAAAAATATTTTAGAAAGCATGCGATCCGCGCCCTACGATTTGGACTCCATCCAGCCTGCAGAGAACTTCACAAAATTCGGTCTCGACCAGGAGATCATCTCGGCAGGGTACAAGGCCTATCTCGCCGGCGTGGCTGCCATCGGAATACACCAGTACCTGTGCCGACGGGACAACCTGCCTCCAGAGCCCATCTCCTGCACCTCCCAGGTCTTGGCTCCCTACTTTAACAAGCTCAATGTTGGTGATGCTCACGACTGGGAGTTTTTCCCATTACAAGAGGCTCCGATGAAACTAGCCAGAAACAATGTTTTCTACATCACCTTTCCCGTTGGCTGGAAAAAGAACGTCCTTAAGAAAACCCTAGCTCACTTTGGCAAGGTGATAATTCACTTTTTGGAGAGACCCGCCATATTTGTTTGTCTCGAGAACCTTAAGAACATTGTGGCCGCCGACTTCTTGCCGACCCTGCAGACTGCACTGCACCGGGAAGATCCACGTTTGACAGCGATGACCTTCGATCAGGCTGAGGATCTCCTGGCAAATGGTAGAAGGTGAATTCCCTTTATTGATAAAGGGAATTCACTCTACCATTGCCGCATTGTTTATCCTTTATTCTGGAAGTGAGCTAGATTGTTCTTAGGGACAGGCTTTCTCTAAACGAAATCCAAAACCGGCTAGATCTTTGGTAGAGAAGA